GATGACAAATACTTGTTGGTGTATGGTTGTTAAGAGAAAAATACTGAATTTTCTGTAAGGCTCCATTGGTGCTAGGCAGCAGTTCATAAATGCTATTTATTATTACTTTTAAACAGCAACGTGAATTTTCCACAGCGTTTTAACAGCACATTTCAAGTGCACAAGCTAAAATCTAAAATTCTTTTTTTTTTTATTTTGTTGTTGTTGCAGATCTGGGACATGAGCGATGATGAAACAGTTTGAAATCAGGCGCTGAGGAGGAGGAGGAGGATGCTCGGGGACACAGCCCTGCCTTTTATCTGTGCTGGGAGGAGTTAATGATTGCTCACCCCTCCTGGCTGCTGGCAAGGCAAACAAACAGAGCCCACGTCCTGCCCGAATAACTCCTCTGCAACAGCAGCTCTTCTCTTGTGGACACAGCTCACCATATTTTCATTTTTATTGTGTAAATAACTGCAGCAATGTGTGTTTAAACCTGCTCTCTCTCTCTTTTTTTTTTTTTTTGTGGGTTTTTTTTTTTGCTTTTTTTTAAAGCTTCTAAATATGGCTTACATCTAAAAAAAAATGCTGCTTAAGTAACTTTGGGTGGTTTGTTTGGGCCAGGTTTTATTTTGCTTCTCAGCGGCCATGTCCAAGCAGCATTTCTGAATGGTTTGGTTCATCTCTCTCAGATTTGGGCCACTTCAGTTGGAATTTGTGAAGATTTCTGCTCTTGGGAGTTAAATTCAATGTTTAAAGGTGGGGAGGAGTGGGGAAGGAGCTGAACCTGCTGCCTCCACCACAGGAATCATTTGCAAACACGAATTTCAGGTGCAGTTGTTCTGGATGTGTCCATGGAGTTTTTACTATTCCCTGTGAAGATCCCATCTTGTCATGCTGTGGGAACAAAGTGGTTTGGCTGATTTTTGCCCAGGAAAGACCAAAATGCATTTGTATAATGCTTAGGCTCCCCTGAAGCTCAGAGAAATCTCTGTTCTATGGTAAAAATTCACTTTAGGAGGTGGGGGGTCACTGATTCAGTCAAATGCTTCAATGAAATAAGAAATTTGTTCCCTGACTTTGCTGTTCTTGGGTGTGCTCATGCAGAGCCCTGCAGGTGTTCTAAACCAGAAATTCTCTTCTCCTTTTTGGTTGGTTGAGTTTTTTCAAGTGGCTTCATAAGCAAAACCAGGAGTTTGAGAATCCTGGAGTTTAAAAAAACAGCCTGAGAAAAATGGAGTGTTGAAATCTCAAAGCACATTTTACTGCAAAATTGAAAGTGAATCTATTGTTCTGCACTTGGAATAAGTTTTAGAAGGAAATCTGAAATCCCTTTCGTCACATTATATTGTGGGGTTTATGAGTTAACTGACTTAGAAAAAAATACAAATCACTTTATCTGCCAAGCAGCCTCTGTTTCCCAGATATATTATAAAAATTAGTTGGTCAATCCAATTATTTTAGTTCCTTCCTTAACATAAGCTGTGAAGATTTTTATTTTGTAGAGAATTTCCCAGAATTTCCCAGTCAGAACAAGATCAGTCAGGTCAAGAACATGCAACTCCCATCCTCTGATCAGAAATTATTTATTGAAACCTGCTGAGGTTTGCACCAAGTGTCTAAAATAGCCATTATTGTCTAAAATAGCTATTATTGTCTAAAATAGCCATTATTATCTAAAATAGCTATTATTTCTATCTATTTATTATCATAATCGTTATATTTACATGATTTCTTACCTAGGGGAATGTCTGGTGAAATATAAAGGTGAAAATATAAAAAATATATATGAATGCAAGATATTTGGTAAATCTGAGCTAGTAATCAGAGCAAATCATCTCTTGGTGGTCAGGCACTGAATACTGAGACTGAACCCCTGAAATGTGCAATTTTAAAGCAATTTTTTTAAGCATGGCTTTTCAGCCATGTTTTTAGCCATAGTCCAGCTGGAGCCACGGGCTGGTGCCAGGAGAGTTTAAAGGGAATAATCTGCTTTTTTTATCTTTGGGAGCTGCTGAGCGTGGAAGTGAATGGCTGTGCACTTTGGGGTTATCTGAGACTTGAAAGCTGCACATCTCTCTGGGCCTGGTGAACATTAATGGTGGTTTGGGGAGCTGGAACTCAGGGAGGGTTCAGGGGCAGTGCCAGGTGTCCCTCCCTCCCTCTGCCACTGCCTGGGCTCTGTCCTGACGGCAGAAACTCCTCACTCTGCCTGGGAATACCTGCCCATGGCTCACTGCAATGTTGGGTTTGTTCTCCTCCTGGCCCAGAATTGCTCTTGTTCCAGCAGAGCTGCTGGGATTGTTTCCTCACTGGAAAAGAAGCAGAAAAGTGTCTGTGTCTGTGGTCTTGTAACATTC